GTTTCAGGAGTTTGAGACCAGTCTGGGCAACACGGAGAAACCCCATTTCTACTAAAAGATACAAAAATTAGCTGGCCATGGTGAAATAATGCCTGTGGTTTCCGCTACTCGGGAGGCTGACGTGGGAGGATAGCTTGAGCCTGGGAGGCGAAGGCTGCAGTGAGCCAAGATCATGCCACTGTACTCCAGCCTGGGTGACAGAGCCAGACCTTGTCAAATAAAAAAGAGTAAAAATCATTCCCTTAATTCTCTCAAGTTTTAGTTGGCTAAAATTCAGGATAAAATGCTACATTCACGTGGCATTACAATTTCCCATTTAAAAACATAAAGATCACGGAATTGAAACTGTTGGGCTTCTCACTCCTGTACGTACTGGCTGCACTACAGGCCTGAGCTATCTGGACTTTGCCCAGGATGCCAGCATCAGAGCAAAAAACTTAGAAGATATTCCAGATAATGAAACTCAAACTGGTGATGGTGTTGGAAAAATAAAACATTTTAATGAGCTTACTGGAACAGAAGTCCTAGGACCAACAATGGTACTAAAACTTCTCACACCTGGTGGAGGTCCAGACAGTCAATCTTGACCTGTCAGCCTTATTCTAGCTCTTTCAGAAAAAGGTGCAATCTCCTAAGACAACTCTTATCTCATTGAACTATGTGTTTACTGGCTTTCTGCAAGCACAATTCATTCTCACAACTCAAACACATGAGCATTCACTCTCATTCATTCACAACTCATTCTCATATCTCAGACACATTCACTCTCACATCTCAAACACATTAGCATTATTTTTACACAAATAAAACATCCCCATCAGATGCCTATTATTTCTCTAGACATCATAAAATATGGTATACTGGTTTAAGCTTATACTTTATCCAAACTATTATTTTGTTTCTGGTAGGTCACCAAAGAACAATTCATAACATTGTAATTGCTTTACTACCTTTTTGGGGGGAAAAGTTCATAACTTTTGTCTCTTCTCACCTGTGAGCATGCAACAGTACTTTCTTTAATTTGCCCTAATATTAGAACCTCTATTCTGCTTCTACAGAACATGAACAAATCATCTAAAAGTAGCAAGTAATATCATTTCAGCTCTCATTAACCCTGGCAAATGATGGAAGACCAGATACGGGGGGACATAGAATGAGAAACAGTAGCAATTTTTACACCTGGATTATTTTAGTCTGGCACAATTTTATTTTGGATTTGTAGAAGACTGTGGTTTGATCCAAGAGTAAGGGAAAAGACTTTTCATCTGGATTTGAACGTATTTCTTGATAATGTTCTCAAAAACTCTGAATCATTTTGGCTGAAACAACACATTAAATGAATATTCTTTTGAAAAAGGATAGGGGAATTAAGAGAAATGTCAAGGAAAAGGACCAGTTGGAATAAACAGAGTCTCTACTCACCTCCCAGTTTTGTTGGCATTTTCTCTCAATTCTCTTCTCACTGATAATACAAAGATACCGCATATCCTACACAAACACAAAGAACTTCTCCCTATTAAGTTCTAGAGCTCAGAGTTTGTATATGGGATATTAAAATTTACTTGCCAAATTTCCATGCCCTGCCTAGTAGAGGTGATGTGGTATAGAAGGGAATACCAAACTATAACACCTGAAATATTAAGAATAATTTGGTGAACGAAATATTAGAAAAGATTTATTCTCTTATGGGTTGAGTTGTGTCCCCCAAAAGTCATATAAAAGTCCGAACTCCTAGATCCCCATAATGTGATCTTATTTGAAGATAGAGTGTTTGCAGTGGTAATAAAGTTAAAATGAGGTCATTAAGAGTGGCCCCAATCCAATATGATTAGTGCCTTTTTAAGAAGAAATTTGGGCACAGAGACACAAAGAGAGAAGATGGTGTTAAGATGCAGGGAGAAGACAGCCATCTATACACCAAAGAAAGAGGCCTGGAACAGATAATTCCCTCACAGCTTTCATAAGAAACCAACTCTGACAGCACCTACATTTTGGGCCTTTAGGCTCCAGATGTGTGGAACAATAAATTTCTGTTAAACCACCCAGCGTGTGGTACTTGATTATGGCTGCCTTCACAAACAAATGTGTTATTTTAAAGATGTAAAATTTCATGTTGATTTGTTTAATCTTCTTAAATTATAATAGATTTAAGGATTCAAAATTTTTTATGTCAAATATGCTCTAACATAAACATTGTATCACAAAAGGTGATATGAAATGAAGGGAAATTACAGTTTGTGCAGGACAAATGAAAGACTGGAGCAAAAAAAATAGTGACAATTTGAAGGATAAATTTATGGCCATTAAAATCTAAGAATATAAAACCTGATTCAGAGTATCATTGAGTGGGGATGTGCCAATCTAATGACACATTATAATTAGAGTTAAGGATTTTCATCATGAAGGGAGTTCCAAAATAAATAATCTAATTTCACAAGAAAGATATAGTTTAGACTATATACATATACATACATACAGAACACAAAAATACACAAATATACAAAAAATTATAAATAAGTTAAATAACAAAATCAAGACTTATTTTGCAAAAAAATTAGGAATATGTTGGACAAATATCTGCCTGCAAAATTTTTAAAAATCAGTAGAGATTTCTGTTCCTGCCTACAAAAAGAACAACTAGAAAAATGGCAAACTTCATGAAATATTTGTTTTTGAAAGTTGAATAAAAGGCAGTACAGGACTATAATCCCTAAGAGAAGAAAACTAACAAGATGAATGATATAAATCCATGGATTTCTGACTTCAAGGCATTTCCAAACCATGCCATAGGGATGGGGAGCCTTCTTTCACATTTGGGGAGAACAAAGTGAGAGTTAAATACCAGAGATGAGAAAGCTATACAGACAAAGAGGTCCGTAAAACTGCATAAAAGTTTCCTAGATTCTTTGGCTGCATGTCAATTGTGGATGCAAAAGGTAAACTTTGACAGAGTCATACAAAGAACAAATGGCAAGAAAAGAAAAATTTCTGAAAATTGTAAGCCAGACAACTTGCAGAGCTTACACAGAACTGGGAAAAATTTTAGTCTCCACCAGACAGAGTGAGGAAATCTTGGGGCACTGAGTACATTGAGGCATTCAGTAAAGAATCCAGAGTTCATTGCTTAATAGTGGGGCTGCACTAACCCTCCTAGAGACCTGCCCTTGTAAACCTTCAAGAGGAACCTCACATAGAACAAGCTAATCCACAAGTAACTTAACTGTCAGAAACTAATCCAAACTCTATGAAACAATGTAAATTACAACAGCGAGCATGCAAACAAAAAACAATAGATACAAAAGTTAATTTATTTCCTAAATATCAGCAAAGAACTGAAATTTAATTGTTTAAGAAAAACTAAATATACTATTTAAAACAGCACACCAAAACCCCTTATGTATAAATCTAACAAAACTGGAGACATATTCTATGTTCATAAGTTGGAAAACTCAATATTGTTAAGATGTCAGTTCTTCTGAACTCGATCTATAGCTTCAACACAAAATCACAGCAAGCTATTTTGTACAAGTCAACAACTGATTCTAAAAAGTATTTGGAAAAGCAAATGACCAAGAAGAGCCAACACAATTTTGAAGAACAAGAACAAAGTTAGAAGATTCACACTACACTATTTCAAGATTAGTATAAAGCTACAGTAATGAACAGAGTGTGATACTGGCTTCAAAAAAAAAAAAAAACAGACATATAGAACTGAAGAGAGAGCACAGAAATGGACATATGCAAATAAAATCAGGTGGTTTCTAAAAAAGACACTTTAAAAAACAATGGACAGTATTTTCAACAAACTGTCCTGGAACAAGTGGATGTCCATATGGGGAGCAAAAAGAACCTAGCCACAGACCTTATATAAAACATAAAAACTAACAGAAAATGGCTTATAAATATATGCATATGTAAAAACTTCCAAAAATAACATAGGAGAAAAACTAGATGAACTTTGATTTGGAGAGGAGTTTTTTAATTCAATAACAAAAGCATAATCATGAAAGAAAAAAAAATTGTTGGATTTTATTAATAGTTTTGTTTTGCAACAGACACTGCTACGATAATAAAAAATAAGTCACATACTGAGAGAAAATATTTGCAAATCACTCATCTCTCAAAGGCTTGTATCTAAAATATATATAGAATTCTTAAAAATCATGAATTTAAAAAATTTAAAAATTAAAAGAAGATATGAACAGACACCCAAAGAATATATACAGATGGCAAATAAGTTTATAAAACAATGCTCAATATCATTTATTACAGAATTGCACATTTAAACAATGAGATACCACTATGCACCTGTTAGAGTTGTTAAAATCCAAAACACTAACAACACCAATGCTGATGAAAATGTGGAACAGGAACTCTCATTCTATGCCAGTGGAAATGAAAAATACTAGGCCACTCTAAAAGATGATTTGGCAGTTTCTTACAATGCTGAATAGTCTTATCATATGATCCAGCAAACTCATTCCTAGATATCTACCCACTGATATAAAAATTCATACCTACACAAAAATCTGCACACCAATGTTTATTTATAATCACCCAAACCTGGACACAATCAAGATGTCCTTCAATAGGCAAATAAACAAAATGTGGAACATCCATATAATGGAATATCATTCAGCAATAAAAAAAAATTACAGCTACAGAAAAAAAAAATAGATAGATATTAAATATATTATTAAATGACAGAAGCCAGTCTGAAAAGGCTACACACTGCATGATTCTAATTACTTGACATTGTGGAAAGGCAAAACTATGGAGATAGTAAACAGATCAGTGGTTGCCAACGGTTTGAGGAGTGGGGAGGGTTGAATAGACAAAAGACAGAGGAGTTTCTATGGAGGTGAAACTAGTCTAAATGAGACTAACATAATGAATACATGACACTGTGCATTTATCAAAATCCACAGAACTTTATATTACAAATAATATATTTCCCATATATATAATTAATATAAACACATATTTCTTTGTTTCACCAGCTAAGAAGGCCTACAAGCAACAATATCCCAGAAGGAAGAGGCACACTCACTGCCCAGATCTTGATTTCTAATACCATTCTACAATAAAATCAAACAGAGCTCCCTGGATAAATGTCCAATTTTGGCGTGGAGGAAGGAAACATAAAAGATGATCTCAGAACACCTTGTAGTGCCAGAAAATAAGGAAGTACTCAAAAACAAAGAAACCAAAAATCACACACACAAAGACGGGGGGATGTCAAAGAGACACAGAAGAGAAGCCACCAAAAGAGTTCTCTATGGCCAAACCTGAAATAAACTGAACGAGAAAATAAAGTAGTAAGATATTTAAACCAAAGTATAAAATAATATCTGTGAATTCATATATATAAAAATAATTGAATAGGTAAATAAATGAGGGAGAAGAGACAAACCCTCCATACAAATACATTCCAGATAATTAATGCAGATATTCTGCCCTCAAGCTGGCGGAACATAACTTCTCACTTTTTAAATGTGAACAATGCACAGTGACTTCTTCTGAAAGACCACAGTATGGAAATACGGGGAAAACACAACTTTTACAGCAGAGAAAACTAACAAATACAACTTCGACTACATGATCAAGGTCATCACAAACGGTAGTAAGTCATGTTAATAGTATAGATCCTTGATATGATGTAATAAAGAAGGCACTTTACTTCGATGGTCTTCCCAAAAACCCATAATCCAAGTCTAATGACAAGAAAAAACACCAGAAAAATCCCAATTGAGAAACTTTCTGCAAAATACCTGATGAACACTATTCAAAACTGTCAAGGTCATTGCAGAAATACATAAAGTCTGAGAAACTATCACAGTCATAAATAATAAATATAATGTGGTCATATAGTTAAGGTCTTAGAAGAGAAAAAGTATGTTAAGTAAAAAATAATGAAATATGAATGAAATTTGGATGCTAGTTAAAAATCATGTATCCACATTGGTCCTTAATTCTCACAAGTGTCATACTAATATAAAATATTAACAAAAGAGGAAACTGGTAAGGAGTATATGAGAACTCTCTATACTGTCTTTGCAACTTTTCTGTAAAATCTAAAATTATTCTAAACAGTTTATTCTTAAAAATACATAATTTATAATTTATCATACCTTAAAATAATCCATAAATAAAGCTCAGCTATGGTTACTCAAAAAAGACATGGAAAGAAGTAGTCAAATACTATCAATAACTGTTAGAAAAATTAGTCAACAGAAACCACACCCAAATATGACATAGATAAGGAAACGAGAAAATAAAGACTGACTATATCTTCAACATCGTCACGAATTTAAAGAAAAACATAAGCTAAATGAGAACAAAAGAAGAAGATGCACAAGAATACTGAATAGAACTTCTAGAGACGAGAAATACAGTATCTGAAAATAAAATTTCACTGGATGAGATTCACAACAGATTAGACCTAGAGGAAAGCCTCAATCTTCTTCTTATTTACATAACAGAGAAATGAGTATCTGCCTTGCAGTGTTGTTATAAGGACAAAGGGTAATTTAATTGAAAGCACCTAAGAAGTAATTAGCCCATGGTTTAAAAAAAAAAAAAAAAACCCTCCATCTCTTTCTGTTCTGTGCTCTATTCATCCAACCAATATTTACTGCGCAGCTACTATGTATCAACTACAATTGCAAGATATAAAAGAATGAATAAAATACATAGTCCCTACACTCATAGAGCTCACAATCTGGTAGAAGACAGAAACCAAAAAATACACAAATAAATGTTGTACATGATATCTTTTGTTTTAACTGTAGCATGCATTGTTAGCTGCCTACCTAAAATCTACTCTCCTCATTCTTCTTGGTAATCAGTACCCTAATTTTCTTCAGGAAAGGAATGTGCTGGCCTAAATAAAGCACTTTCCCAGCGATACGGTTTGGATTTTTGTCCCCACCCAAATCTCATGTCTGAACAGTAATCCCCAATGTTGAAGGAGAGGCCTGGTGAGAGATGATTGAAACATGGGGGCAGACTTCCTCCTTTCTGTTCTTGTGAAAGTGAGTTCTCATGAGATCTGGTTGCTTAAAAGCATGTAGCACTTCCCCTTCTCTCTCTTCCTCCTGCTCCAGCCATGTAGGACATGCCTCCTTCCCCTTTGCCTTCTGCGATGTTTGTAAGTTTCCCAGGGCCTCCCAAGCCATGCTTCCTGTACAGCCTGGAAAACCATGAGCCAATTAAACTTCTTTTCTTTATAAATCACTCAGTCTTAGGTCATTCTTTATAGTAATGCAAGAACTAACACAGAAAATTGGTTCTGGGAAGAGGTGCATTGCTATAAAGATACCTGAATATGTGGAAGCAGCTTTGGAACTGGGTATTGGGCAGAGGTGGGGACAGTCTGGAGGACTCAGAGGAAGACAGGAAGATGAAGGAAAGTTTGGAACTTCCTGGAGACTTGTTGAATGCTTGTGACCAAAATGCTGATACTGATAGGGACAGTGAAGTCCAGGCAGAGGTGGTCTCAGATGGAGATGAAGAACTTACTGGGAACTAGAGTAGCCACTCATGTTGTACTTTAGCAGAGAGACTGGCAGCATTGTGCCCCTGCTCTAGAGATCTGTGGAAATCTGAACTTGAGAAAGATGATTTAGAGTATCTGGTGGAAGAAATTTCTAAGCAGCAAAGCATTCAAGATGTGGTCTGGCTGCTTCTAACAGCATACACTCATATTTATGAGCAAAGAGATCATCTGAAACTGGAACTTATACTTAAAAGGGAAGCAGAGCATAAAAGCTTAGAAAAGTTGCGGCCTTGCCATGTGGCAGAAAAGAAAAACCCATTTTCAGGGAGGAATTCAAGCTGGCTGTAGAAATTTGCAAAAGTAAAGAGAAGCTGTATATTAATAGTTAAGACAATGTAGAAAAGGCCTGGAAGGCATTTCAGAGATCTCCATAGCAGCCCCTCTCACCACAAGCCTGGAGGCCTAGGAGGAAAAAATAGTTTCATAGGCCCAGGGCCCCACTACCCTGTACAACCTCAGGACACTGCTCCCTGAATCCCAGCTTCTCCACCTCCAGCCTTGGCTAAAATGGTCCCAGATATGTCTCACTCCACTGCTCCAGAGGATGCAAGCCATAATTCTTGGAGGCTTCCATGGGATGTTAAGCCAGCTAGAGCACAGACAGCAAGAGTTGAGGCTTTGGAGCCTCCACCTAGATTTCAGAGGATATATGGACACACCTAGATATCCAGGCAGAAGTCTGCTGCAGTGGCACAGCGCTCAGGGAGAATATCTACTAAGGCAGCACAGAGGGGAAATGTTGAGTTGGAGTCCCCAAACAGAGTTCCCACTGGGGCACTGCCTACTGAAGCTATGAAAAGAAGGCCACTGTCCTCTAGATACTACAATGTTAGATTCACCAACAGCTTGTACCGTGAACCTGGAAAAGCCACAGGCACTCAATACCAGCCCATGAAAGCAGCCAGGGGGGCTGTACCCTGCAGAGCCACAGGGGTAGAGATGCCCATGGCCTTGAAAGTCCACCCCTCACATCAATGTTACCTGGGTGTGAGACATGGAGTCAAAGGAAATTATTTTGGAACTTTAAGATTTTATGGATGCTCTGCTGGATTTTGGACTTGCATGCAGCCTGTAACCCCTTTGTTTTCACTAATCTCTCCCTTTTGGAATGGGAGTATTTAGCCAATGTCTGTACCCCCATGGTATCTTGGAAGTAATTAAGTGGTTTTGATTTTACAGGCTCCTAGCCAAAAGGGACTTGCCTTGTCTCGGATGAGACTTTGGACTGTGAACTTCTGAGTTAATGCTGAAATAAGGTGAGACTTTGGGGGACTGTTGAGAAGAAAAGATTGTATTTTACAATGTGAGAAGGATATGAGATTTGGGAGAGGCCAGAGGCAGAATGATATGGTTTAGATTTGTGTCCCTGCCCAAATCTCACGTCTGAATTATAATTCCAACAGGAGGAAGGGCCTGGTGGAAGGTGATTAAATCATGAGAGTGGACTTTCCCCTTGTTATTCTCATGATAGTGAGTAGGTTCTCATGGGATCTAGTTGTTTAAGTGTGTAGCACTTCCCTCTTTCTCTCTTCTTCCTGCTCCAGCCATGCAGATCGTCCCTGCTTCCCCTTCATCTTCTGCCATACTTGTTAGTTTCCTGAGGCCTCCCCAGCCATGTTTCCTGTACAGCCTGCAAAACCATGAGCCAATTAAACCTCTTTTCATTATAAATTACCCAATCTCAGGTACTTCTTTATAGCAATGCAAGAACTGACTAATACACTCAGTCTCTTCTGCAGCAGAGGCAGTCAAACACAGTAGTTCTGGCCGATTCTAAACATAAAACAAAGTGGGAGTGTGGAGGTATTCTGGTAAAGTTTTTGCTTCCTAGATTATAGGCAATACCCATGGATGACTCTTCCACTCTTTCTTCTTCTCCCTTATTCCACTAAATGCACATGAGCTGAACAGAGCTGCAGCAGCCATCTTGTTGCCTTAAGGGAAAAGCCAAGAGAATACAGTGTGACACTGCGTGTGACATCCAATTTAGGCATGTAATCCTGAGCTTCTTGTGAGAAAACCTAGCTTGACAGAGTCAATTATCTTGAGAAACTAAAGCCAAACCCTGAGAAAAGCAAATCTGAGAATGAGAGAGTGAGAGGTAGAAAGCAAGTGAGGAGAGACAGGCTGTACTCCATGCTTCTTTCAGTTTGGTTATATGAATTGATTTTTTAAAAATTATTTTTAGGCTGGTTCACATTCAGTTACTATTACTTGCAATTAAAAAGTCCAATCCAGCATAGTCAATATGATTTTTAGACTGTAATAAGTGCTATAAGAAAAAGGAACAGATATTATAAGAAAGAATCAGAAGGTAGTTAGGGAGTCCTTCTACAAAAGCAACATGAAAGAGGAAACCTAACAAATAAACACATGTCAGCCTGGAGAAGAGTTGAAAGAACGGTTTCCCACCTGCCTCCTTCAACCCCTTCCCATCGCCAACATGGAATAAGCATGCTCTAAACACAGTAATGGAAGTGTTTCCTGGAAAGGACCCTAGTGTGGGTGTAGGAGCTGGAGATTGGGTGAAACAAGTCCTGTGATGTCTACAGACCCACCCAACAGACCTAGAGGAAAAGAAAAAGGCAACTCCATTCAACAATAAAATATACTAAATTATCCCGCCTCATGATAAAGTTCTTTTTACGTTGTCAACAATAACGATCTTAAGCCTATGGCTCCTCAGCCACACACCCTGAGTGGAACTTTATCCTTCAAAAAATCTGCCAAATTATACAGTACTCCATGAGTGTTCTCCCATTTAGAGGAGGTTT